CTTGTTCCTACCCGTTTGTTCTTCCATTGATTGTGTTACTTGCATTTACTGGAGTTTTGCATTTTTGGTCGTGAATTGAAGCACTCTTCCGAAATTGGAAACACTACGTTATAAAACAACCAAATATTATCTTTGAATGAATCTGTACGTGATCGATCCAGAAATGATAGAATTACTTTTATTTGTTGCGATTGGTTATGTTCTTATATCCTTTATCAACTTGTTTATTTATTGTAATTTAGATTCGGCTACTGATTGAACAATTATTGGTTGAATAACTTGGTGGTAATGTTTGTTTAGGTGATAATGCACACTTATAATGAAATCTGGAACCGTCATCTACCCAATTACCTTGTTTCGGTTTCAACTGGGCAATAGCGCGCATCTAAACCAAACAGACAGTTATTCTTCAGTCTAAGCCTTAGTTCGGATTCTATAGTTATTACGTGTAACTTTACATAGAAAGGAGTATCTAAGCTTAATGTCTTCCTTACTGCAAAAACAAGTCACGTTTCCTGTAATGTGCAGGCTACCGACTCTAGGGAAGCCTCTGCTGATAAACCAACGTACTCACCTAAATTCAAAATACACAAACCATTCAAATATCTTAAAAAGAAGAATATATTTGAAAAATCTCAGCGAATGAATTTAAGTAAATCCAACGTTTCGCCTGGCAACCTGGTCCAAGCTTTTTCAAGGAAAATATATATATTGCCAGGCGAAACGTTGGATTTACTTAAATTCATTCGCTGAGATTTTACAAATATATTCTTCTTTTTAATGTTTCAAATTAACTCGGCGCCCAAATATTGTGAAACTATTCGTTCAAATTTAGACGAAAGTTCTCATTCAAATATCTGTCTAATTCACCGGGAATAGTGGAATCGAGTGTCTATTTGCTCTTAGTATACGCTAAAATAAACATGAAACCGTACTTCATGACTAAAACTCTATTGTAAGAAGAGTAGCTGGCTTCCACCAGCCCTTCACAAGGACTTCGGGAATACTAAGGGTAATAGGTACAGCATAGAAGTGCCAGCACCAGTGGTCCGGTTTCATAAGGATCTTGGGGTGACAGTGAGTTATGATCTTAGGACGACGGCTCATTGCTGGGAGGTCACAGCTAAGGCTTTTAGAACCCTCTGGGATTCGAAACGGACATTCGCTAAGTAAGATACCACCATGTTCACTACAGTATACACAACCTAGGTGAGAACTAATCTTGAGAACTCGTTCAGGCAGCAAGCAAGATGACTCGGATATCCTGGAAGAAGTACAGAGGGCAGCTACCCGTGCAATTACAGAACTCAGGGGTTCACCATACAAAGAGAGGCTGGGGAACCTGAACCTTTTTGCTCTGTCCTATCACAGACTAAAGGGAGACCTCATTTTGATGTACAGAATACTGAGAAATGATTTCGGACCTTACATATTCTCTTTTTCTTACCACTAGATCAGGACATCTCAGAGGACATGGTGGGCGAGTAGAAAAGCCAAGAACGAACACAGTGTCAGTGGCATACAGGTTTTCACGCCGAGTCATCAATAATTGGAACCTGTTCTCCGAAGCAGTGGTGTCCTCACTTTCAATTGACTCATTCAAGAGAAGACTGGACACTCACAGAAGCATATTGGAAAAGTAATAACATAGGCCATTGGCCTTCTGACTTTACTACACAAATCTGAATCTGGATATTGGTAACGTCAGACTTATTACTTTTTGCCGACGACGTGAAACTTTGGAGAGTTTCATCCGTCCCCATTTAGAGTACGGAAACATAGTATTTCCTCCCTCACTCCAAAAGGACAAGGTCACTTTGGAGCGTATCCAACGGCGAGCCACGAAATCAGTTCGAGGACTCAAATCTAAACCTTACGAAGAACGCCTCCACCCGTTAGAGTAAAGGCGTCTTAGAGGTGATTTATTAATGGCTTATAGTATTCTTAACACTTCTGAACATCCTCTTAAACACCTACTTAAGCTTAGTTCAAATAATAACCCAAGGGGTAACACCCAGAAACTGGAAACACAATATAGCAAAACGGAATGTAGACACAATTCATACTCCTTAAGAGTTGTCAAAAGCTGGAATTCGCTGCCGGCCGAGCTAGTTCAAGCGACTTCTCAGGAGTCCTTCAAGAGGCAACTTGACCTATTCTTAAGGACCAAGGACAGCATCACACTATGATTTACCAATTTCTTTTCCTCTTTTATTGTTAACATACCTAGGTTCCTACCTGGAAGGTTTGGTGATCCCCTGCTACTAGACACGGAAGCCTGTTAAGCGAAAGCTTCTTCTATTCCGTCCACAACCATTTGAACCATTTTCGGATTGGATATTGAAGAAACGCTTGAAACTTGTAGAGCGTTTTTTTAACGCGCCTGCTGCTCCAGGTATTTTCCCCCATCTTTCTGGTTCTTTCTTCAGTATATTCACGAAAAGCATTAGTGAAGTTGTATACTTGAAAAAACATGTAGAGATTTGCAGATTTTTCACTTGACACTTTGTTGCTACCTTGCTATCTTCGTGCATTATAATTTCAACTTTTATTTTATATATATATATATATATATATATATATATACTAAGAACTAGAACGATAAATATTTGATGTGATTGTTACTGATTTGAAGATAATCGGTAATTAAAACGTCACATAGCTGTCAACATGGGCCATGATATGAGTTTTAGACGCACGAATGTTCTTTTTGGTATATCTTATTGGCCAACTAGTCTCATTAATAATAAGAAGCTACCTGGTCAATGTCAATCTCCATTTTCAGAGCGTCTAAAAGATAGAATATCGCTAAGACTTCTTCCGGTTGATCAAATTTGTATGAAACAAAAGACGAGACAACCGTCAAAATAGTCTATTTTGAGCTAAACTTGTACTAGATCGTCAGAAGCATACGATATTGAAGGAACAATCAGATTTTGGATAATGCGTATTAGGTTTGTGTAAGTTTAGGCACAACCGCTGATAGCTTATATTGCATTAGAAACTAACTAATTTCTTCAATCTATTTCTTATGAGTTTTAAAGCAGATATACGTATCCGTTGTCCCACTACATAGTGTGTCATGTCATTGTAAACAAACCTATAAGAAACACTTACTGTTGACACATCTGGTATCTAGTACGATAATTACTTGTTGAACGTACTTTGTGTATTCCGATGCAGAGGCAAGAATGTTTGGAAGAATAATACACTTTATGGGCGAAACAATTAGATTAGATGCTATACTTGTCAGATTTCCCGTAACACCCGTCTGTACATCTTCAAAGTTTCGACGCATCATCGATTATGTTAGTCCCTGATTAAACCGACTTCTCAACACGATATCTAATCTTAACCATAGTTCCTTACGCTCAATTCTAGACTTAAATCTTACTTGTATTACATAGAATTCCGTTATTCCTGAAACGACTGACAATTTTCAGTGCTGACCTTTTATAGCTTAATAAAAACAATTCAATATGTTTACATCCGCTAATTATATCGAAACTGTATTTTTGGGTATGTGGGATCCATAAATCTTATATTTCTGATATCAGCTTTAAAATTTGCAAATTGACTGAGTGATATGTTCAAGACTAGTAGGTCTTAAAATTCTCGACAGGTTTGTCCGTTGAAATTTATTACTTGCTATTGAAAATCGCTGTATAAAACCATCTCTCTGAATGGCGAGTTAGTCGTTGAAGGTTATCCGTATAGTAGACCTCGACTGATCCGATAAACTCATTATTTTAGTTACTGCCCTCTAAACCCATTCCAGTATATTTGCTTCGTGTTTGCAGCAAGCACTTCCTACTTGAACCCCACATTCCAAATTCGATCCAGATTATATCTTGTATTATGTTTTGAACATTGCCTGTCCCATATTCCTAAGTGTCTAACAATCTTCCCACAAGATTCGAAGACCTTTATCAGCAGCAACTTTGAAGTTATCCATGGTTCTGAAACCGTTATTTGCTATAGTCCGTCGTTAGCTTATTAGTTTCTCAAGGCTTTCTATTTGCAGCTTGATAATAAATTCGTTGGAAAGAGGTCTCTTCGCTGATCTCCGTGTTTTTAATGTTTGGTAATTATATTTCTGTTAAAGAATATGTAAACAGTGCTAGTCCGCTTAGAAGTAATATCCAATAACATTCCAAGCTAATAAGTCGCGTAGTTTCACAGTTCGTGTCTAAGTAATTAAGATGCACCAATAAGTAGATAACCAAACAATCACTCAGTGTTATAAGATATCACTTCGAAAAGCGTTAGAGATGACGGAAATCAGCATTATTGTAACACTGCCCATCTGTTATGCGATTTTATACTCCTATATTGCTGAATTCCACCTGTCATTCGTCTTAAATTCTGGGCAGATATTGTTGATCTTGTTCCAAATAATTTGGGTCTACTTTGTTGATTATTTCGTACCATATATGTAGCAACTTTATTTCTGTAGTCGCTTTTTGTGTGGGACATGAAAAGCCCCTGATCCCCCGTTTTTATTTCTTTGATCAGATGTGGTCTCAATTTTGATATGTTGTGGATCGTGTCGTTTCCGTTTGCATTACCAAAATCTCCTAGTTATTCGTACGTTTGCAAATAACTAAATATTACTGGAATCATGTTGGGAAGCAAATGCAAGTGACTTGAAATATTTGGTACTAGTAGTACTCTAATCACATCAGACCACAACTTTCCTTATTATATGGTTAGATTCAGTGTATTTTTCTGCACCATTTAAGGTAGGCTATATGAAAATCCTCTTGAAATAAGGAGTAGTTATATAACATGTTTGTATGTTTGTGATCTGATTTTGTTGACCATTTTGACATTCATTTCATACCTTTTCTATAGATTTAACGGTTTCTGATTGTACGCCTATTACACCTTTCCCCAACGTGGTCAAGTAAAGTTATCGCAACATCGACATGTAAAACTTATTGGTTGTTAGTATATTTACAAATTATTTCGATCTAAATTTTAATTACAATATATTTTAGATGCTTATTCAGTGCTTTAATTTAAAACCTTTGAGGAATATTTATCGTCACGTGAATCCAATTCATCACATCTTACCTTCTCAACAGGTTCTTCTAAATTCAGTATCTAAACGGAATATTTTCGCTGTTACCGGTATTCAACCAAGTGGTAAACCTCACCTCGGAAATTATCTTGGAGTTATAAAACCGTGTGTTACGTATTGTCGTGATAGTGATGTGTCACAGTTCTTTATGCTGATCGCAGATTTACATTCTCTTACATCAAACAATTGTAATGACCTGAAGCATGGTATTCATGAACTTGTGGCTACTTTGCTCGCATGTGGATTTGAAGCAAATTCTTCAAAGCAAATTATATTCCTTCAATCTTCTGTGCCTGGACATACTGAACTAGCATGGATCTTATCATCAGTTTGCTCGATCCTGGTAAGAGAGTTCCAACAGTTTCCCTTGTTTAAAACATTAGTCACACTGTTTAAGCTCTATGCTTTGATAAACGCTTTATCTTTTCGGAATCATATTTTAACGTTTAATGTTTAATTTGAACTGCAGATAATTGGTGTGTCATACTCTGTTTAGAGAACCTAATTTATGTCATCCAAATCATTTTATCATGGAATTATTCTTTATATTCTTGAGTTGTACTTGTTGATTTTGTTGTTTTAGTTCTCGAAATATCTTCTTTGGTTTAACTATTCGATTAAGGTTTTGCGTTATAATATTCTCTTTAACTTGAATAGAAAATAAATAAAATACTGCAACTGATTCATAAAGCTCTGTGTAATCATTTAGAATTTTCATTTATATTAAGTAGTTAGTTATGTTAAGGATTCTAAATAATTTAATTCTTTTGAAAGATAGAAAGTCATTGATTAAAGCGAATAAAAATAAAAGTAATGTAGTAACTAGATAGATACGGAGTAGATTTATAAAATGTCATAATTATTTGTTATTCACTTGTAAGTTCTAAATGCTGATTAAAATGATAAATCATTATATTCTATGAAACAAGAAATTATTCAAGGGAATTGATAAAGTAAATAAGGTTTAAGTAATAATTAAATGATAAAAGTTACAAAATATAAAAAAAAACAACATAAGTTTACTTGCTTCAAATTGACATGTTTTGTAAACTTTAAGAATTTGGTCAAGAGATTATGTTTACAATTCAGAATGACTTTGTTAGTAGGACACAGATGAGATGAAAACATACTCAATGTATGATTGCTTTGGCGCACGCTGATTGGCTAATTCTTATCCAATCAGAGCTAGTCGATACTTGGACAAGACTCTAGAATCTTCTCATATAAAAACTATAAATATACTAACGTTTTTCCTACTGTGTTTCTTACTTCCATTTAACCTTGTTATTTGGAATATAATCTCTTTTCCTGTTCAACCGTGTTCTGAATTGGTGTCCGAGAATACTAAGCAATAGGTTGTAATGAAAGAGAATTATAAAATACTCATTGCCCGACTATTATGGATATTCGTTTTCGGGCATTTTTTTTTTCAATGCTATTTCTCGAAGAACATTGACTATATGGAAGAATAATTTCCAGTCGTTGAACAAAATGAAGACGTTTCGACATAGAAAATCTTCTTTTCGACGATATTATTTACTAGAGCTATACGATCGTATTCATAGTTGTTTTTTACGTCTAGTGATCTATAATAAACATGAATCATTGAGTAATTAACATCTTCAGTCCCACAGTAATGATACTTCCCTTTTACAACATTATTGATGTCCATAAAAAAACTGATCTTGATCACTATTTCATTACTATTAAAAAATTTACTAGTAGTAATAATGAGAGAACTCATGGTTTAAAAATCATTTGTAGTATATATTTCTGAGCTGTTTTGCCGGTGAATTCAATGTTTCTGAATAAAAATTTAGATTATTAGCAGACATTAACTAAAAATCTAATTTGTTAATGCTTTTATAGTGAAATCGTTTATTTTTGGTCAGCAGAATGGTAGTGCCACCAGGCTACATGACTATACACACTACTTCTTCCTAATGTACAAGTTACTAGAGAGTATCTACATGTAAACCTGTCAGCTCTTTTGCCCCCAAATGCCCTGGTATGGCCGAGAGTGGGGTGGGCCCTCCCTCCCTCTCGAAATGCTCTCACACGGACACGCGTATACAGCATCTGCCAGGGAAGTCCTACTCACTGCCTTCTCGTGGCGGGGGTGTTGTTTACGAAATTCAGAGGACGAAAAGCGAATGTTCGGCGTTTTAACCGGATTCCAGACCAATGGTGCACATGGGCTCCAGTATCCTGAGGGAACAAATGGCGTATGAACCAATCGTTGGTCACCGGCTACCATGGGACTGCATCTCCTTACGATGCTCCACTGACTTGTGGGTTAGACCTTTAGGTCAAAGGCTCGGGGTGTGGCCCCCTAAGAAAACCACCTGCTTCGGTCTGAGCACCCGGGCAGTATCACAGCCCTCACACAAATCGAATGACTTTTGTGGTGCGTATCTATTTGGTACCTCCTTGTACCAATGTTTATGTGTTTAAATAAATAAACATTTCAGAAGCTATAGTATGTGTACAGAACGCATATCGCTTTGTACATTCGTATTTCAAAAGCTAGTTGTCTTGTCTGTATATTTATTTGTTTATATGTGTTTTTAGTGGTACTGAATTTTCCGAACTGGTTGATGTAATTGTAGAGCTTCTGTCGTCATGTTGAGCAAAATCTTCAGCATTTACTCCATGTAAGAGCATCTTCAAAACAGTGTAAGGCCATAATGCAGTCATGAAGTAAATAACAATATTTGTGAGGAAAACCAAATGTTTATTTTTATTAACACTCACAGAACGTACCTTTCTAATGCTTTGTAAAATATCATATCCTCCCAGATAATATACACTACACAGTATGGCTATTGTAAATAAATATTTAGAGTAGATATATGCAGGCATGAACTCTTTTTGACTATTATTATTATTAATATGTAACTTATTTATAAAGTATGAGTTTATACTCACGTTTAAACTACACTTTCCAAATGAATGCTAATAACTTTATTAAGTTGTCCAAAACTATGTCAGATGGAACGAAATTAAAGTGTGAGACTGATTGGTTTAATCACTAATTCCTCCCTAAACTTTTTTGTTTATTACTAAACAAAATGTATCGTGCTAATGCCTTACATGTAATTCCATTAATAAACTAATATATTCAATCTGAATCTGTTCTTATACCCTATTTTGATTGAACAATATCTCCTTATAACGTTTAGTGTTATTCTATCGAATGTTCTTTTATTACAGAGGTTAGCTCATTTGCCTCAATGGAGAGAAAAATGTGGATATTTTAACTTAGTGTCTGATGTATCTACTAACAATACTTTATCAATGAATAATATCCATGATAATGCTTCCGTTGGTTTATTTACCTATCCTACTTTACAAGCTGCTGATATACTTCTTTATGGAGCACATTCAGTTCCTATTGGAGCTGATCAAATAACTCATATTGAATTAGCACGTGATCTAGTTCGATCAGCTGTACATAAATGGCCGTCATTATCATCTATTTTACATATACCTAATAGTGTCATTTTTGATGCACCTAAAGTAAGTCATTCCATGTTATATTTCTTTTCTTTCACATAAATTCCAAAATCTAATAATGTAAATTAATTTTATCATTAAGCTATTATAAATTTAATTATAAAACAATCTATTCTGTCATTGAATACTTTTCAATGAGTTCATTTCAATGCTGTATAATTGTATAGCTCAATGAATAATTATATCTGTTAGAATTTGATTTATTATTATTTATTAAAACATATAAACATTGGTACAAGGACGCTCAAAATAGATATACGCCACATAAATCATTCGATTTATGTGAGGGTCGGGATACTCAGTCAGTCAGTCAGTAACAACGTAGAACTTCGTACGTACGTATATTAGTTCGAGTTGCCATACCACATTAGCATAGAGATGCAGTTGTCGACTCAAATCCCGTATTGGTAGAAGTAGTACAAGTATAAGCAGTAATCGGAAACACTAGGGCTTGAAGATGTTATTCATGGAGTATAATACAATGAAATAAATTTGGAAAGAGAAAAAAGAAAGGTACATGAAGAATTCGGAAGATTAGAATTTGGGAGAACACAAAGAGTGTATGCACCTGCGCCATTGCAAACGATTTTGAGCCATGTCATTCAGGGTCTTCAACCATTGGTTGCTATCATCTCGCGGTCTCCAACCAGGTAGTCTACACCTACCAACATGGCTCAGTCCACTTGTCAGTGACTTCATGGATTTGTACCATGTTTTGGTCCGGCCGCCCCTATCTTTCTTCCAATCTACTCCTACACCGCAAAAAACATAGCACGTCGAGGCAGTCGGTGTTTAGGCATTCGTAACACATATCTCAGCCATCTCAACTGATAAAGTTTCACCGATTCATCAATTGATTTGCCATCCTTACCTAGTACCCGTTTTCTAACAACTGCGTTACTTACTCGATGGTCCCAGGATATACGAGCAATGTTTCGAAGACACATATGATCAAATACTAGTAATTTACTGCCCAGGTGCCCAAACTGAAGCAAGTGGTTTGCTTAGGGGGCCACACCCCGAACCTTTGACCTAAATGTCTAATCCACAAGGCACTGGAGTAACATAAGGAAATGCAGTCCCATAGTATCGATTGACCAACAATAGGTTCACACACTATTTGTCTCCTCAGGATCCTGGATCCCATTTGCACCATTGGTTTGAAAATCAGAGTTTTCCAACTCTCCTACGTGGATTACCCATATCCATCAACCCGGTTAAAGTGCTGGACATTCGCTTTTCGTCCTCTTAATTTTGTAAACAACACCCTCGCCGTGAGAGTGCAGTGACTAGGACTTCCCTGACAGTGGTTGTATACATGTGGTCATGTGAGAGCATTTTTCGAAGGAGAGTTGACTCTCTTCACCGTCGGCCGTATCAAGGCATTTTGGGGCTAGAATTTGATTCGTTATTACATGAAATTTGACTATATCATTTTAAATAAACAAATGGTTATTAAAGTAGTGAATTTAAGCAAAAGTAAGAATTAATATATCATCAAGAGTAAAAAGTGTAACTTTTAATATCTTTAAGTTAAAATAAAGATGATGGGTAGAAACAATTTTCGTAATAATAATAATGAATTAAAGTAAGTTGGCTTCATTCTACTACAAACATAAGAGTAAACAATGAAGGGGATAGAGAGAAACTAAATAAACTAAATAAAATGCAAATTGAAACCGTAGTAACGAAGACGACTTAACAAAGTGTTTTTCTATACAAAACAAGTTTCAACTCATAAATAATCGAAGTTTTTTCCAATGTAAAGTAGGTTAAGGCGTACACCTCTTTGTATCTTTAGATTTGTAAATTTTGTAGAATGATAAGACTGAAGTTGAATTTCCTGTGTTTGTTACATGTTGCAAATCAATGATGCAATAAACTTATATCAACATTTGTTAAACCATGTTAATAGATCCTCTCGAATATAACAAAAATTTGGTCTCGGTTATAGACTTACTTAGCTCCATAAGAGTAGGTAAACTTGTAAATACCTTTATAGCTTTACAGCTTTTAAAATGAACTCGTTTAGAGGGGTTTTAACCCAATAAAATTCCCTATTTGAATAAGGCCATAATAACTGAGATAAAATAACATAATTTTTTTTGTGGTTCCTCAGCTGTTTACAACCATATGATATGATATAGGTGGAGTTTTATTCTCTGAGCTGTATGGTTCGCTCGTGGAGCTTTCAATGTTCTGAGCAATATTAACAGCACATACTTCAGGTGAGAATAAAGTGTTCTAATTTCTCCACGTATAGCTCACAGCTTACCCTGTCAACCTTGATCTTGATTGGTTATTGTTGACCTTTAACCTGTCACTGTCCACTTCTTTATCTCCCATTGATTTGATTCTTGGTATTATATTTGTCCATAATTTCTTTGATTGATTGGTAGATTGAATCGATTTCAATATGTTTATTGATTACTGACTGACCTGAGTGCCAAGCTTCTAAAAATTCTCTAGTCTTTTCAGAATTGCCTCTACCCAAGATCTCGACATTTTCCCAGTCGAATGTGTGTCCACAGTTGTTCACATACATTGATATAAGCAAGGATGTGTTATGGATTTTGACCGCTAATTAATGTTCGTGCAAACGAAGATGAAGAGGGCTTCCGCTTTGCCTGATGTAGTGTTTTTTGCAATTGGAACAATTTATTTTCTAGATGATGATCTATTTTTCTTCTTTTTTCATTTCGTCCTTTGGTTTGCATAGGATTGATTGAAGTGATTTTTCTGGTTTGTGTACTACACCTATTTCAAACGGCTTCAATAATCTCGTAATTTCTAATGTCTTTTATATATGGCAGGATGATCTGTTTGTTGGTTTTTTTACTTTATCGTATTTCTGATGATGCGTTGGGTTGATATTTTTTGATGAAGTTGATTGGGTAGCCGTTCTTTTGAAAGATGATAGTCTTCGAATATTTTTTCTACGCTGGAAGTGTGTTTTCGCCCTCTTGAATATAGTTTGTACGCAGTTGATTTTGTGAGTTCTTGGGTTGTTGCTACTGTACTTGAGAACTTGATCTATGTGGGTTGGCTTGCGATATGCAGAATCTCCAGTATTCCTGTGTTGGTTCTGGTATTCAGTACATTCAATAATGATAGCCTTTTTGTTTGTTTCCGTTTCCACAGTGAATTTTATGTCATCGAAGACGTTAAATAATGTCTTCAAACTCATCCTTTTTGACGATGAAGAATGTATCGTCCTCATGACGAGTCTAAATTTTTGGCTTGATCACTGGTAAGATCGTGGCTTCCAGTTTCTGCATCACTGCCTCTGCAATAAGTTTTGATATCAGTGATCCCATCAGTGATCCCATCAGTGTTCCGTAGACTTATGTTAAAGTAGACAATGACAGGCTAAAGGTCAACAATAACCAATCAAGATCAAGGTCGACAGGACAAGTTGTGAGCCATATGTGGGGAAATTCGTACATTTGACTTCTACCTGAAGTTGATAGTTGTGATATTGAAATGAAAATGATTACCAGTATTATATATATATATATATATATATATATATATATATATATATATATATACACATTTAGAAATGAATATCGGAGACATGAATATGAGCAAGTCCCGAAAAAAAAATTGAGTTTAAAGGGCGCTATTGCAATAGCTAAATATTTAATCGACAGCAGTCATATCATCGCCATTCATAAGTCGTTCAAGATTATAAACGGATAAAAAAATAAAAAAATTTTTGTTTCTAAAGCATCTGCTACTAATTAGAAAATTCCAACCCAATCTACCTGTTCCATAAGGATCAGTTTTCATTTGATCATTATCATGCTAAATTCTTGAGACAAATTAGCGTCCTATTGAAGTTCTTACTTATCATATGTTTTTTAGGAAGGAGGAAAGGAATAGATGAAGATGGAAAGATACATAAAATTGACACAACATTTGCCTTCTTATTTTCACTAGTAAACTGCTAAGTTTGAAGAGATTATAGAATCACCTAAAATCGGCAAATGTAACTAAGGATCATCGACACAACGACAAGACAAGCTAAACTATTCCGTTACATCCCAGTCCCACTAACTAGAGGGAGAAGATCATATTCAGATGAGTGAAAGGTATATTCGGCAAGCAGCCAGAAACACACAACTCAAGTGTATTTATATATATATATATATATATATATATATATATATATATATATATATATATATATATATATATATACAGCATAAAATGTCTTTGGGAGACGTCACAAAATGGCGTATTGAAAGAGGTAACGAACCGATGAAATTTACGGCCCTTCCAAGTAGGAAATACAGTATGTGGGTCAAGATTTCCAAAATAAAATTACCAAACAATTCTGGTGATCTAGCATCCCAAACAAAATATTGATAATAAAAAATAATTGCTAATCACTACCTACCTCGATGGACGATGTTTGTTGGAACAGGAATAGATTGAAAGAAAGCTAGGGGCAGCCAAACAAAAACATGTCATTCCACAAATTCATTGACCGTCAGTCTGAGTTGTTCTGGAAGATCCAAATTTATTGGTTGGGGTACGACAATTAATGTTGGCAAATTGGGTTAACATAGTTCAAATCCATTCACTTTTTATCTTCCTCTAGATTTCGTATTCCAGTATGCCTTCATCCTTACCTTTCTATCCTGTCTTTTTGAATCACATCCTCAATGTCTATTCTTATCGCAACTACTGATACATTGTTCTACTCTCTTCTATGCATCGTGTTCACCTCATCTTGTTATGCTAATGTAAAGTGACAAATTGTATCAAATACCCTTCTACGGCCGAGGGTGGGGAGATTCAGCTCTCACATGACCACGTACATACAACCACTGCCAGGAAAGTCCTACTCACTACCTTCTCGTGACGGTGATGTTGTTTACGAAATTGAGAGGACGAAAAACGAATGTCTGACTCATTAACCGAGTTGCTGGATATGGAGGGTCCATTTAGGGGAGCTGAAACACCCTGATTCCAACCAATGGTGCACATAGGCTCCAGTATCCTAAGGAACAAATGGCGTATGAACCTATTCTTGGTCATTGGTTACCATAGGATTGCATCTCCTGACGTTGCTTCACTGCCTTGTGGATTAGACCTTTAGGTCGAAGGTTGGAGTAGTGGTCCCCTAAAAAAACCACCTTGTTCGATCTGGGCATCCGGACAGTATCACAGCGCACAAACAAACCAAGTGACTTGTGTGGCGCATATGTATTTAGTGCCCCTTTGTATCAATATTTATGTGTTCAAATAAATACATAAATATATCAGATTCTATTTTGATGATATTTGAACGTTGTTGCCACCTTGACGTGGTGGTCGGGCTTGCCTATCCTGATGAACCAATCGAGCTATACTGGCTGGAGAAGTCGTTCCTCAAGGTCTTACCGTGCCAGATATGTCCTTTTCAGGTACCATCAGAAGGTCCTTTCCATGGCGTGGGCAGCCAGGATGTGATTACCGCCCTCATACCTTTAGCCAGCACTCAAAACAACTTATTTTGATGATGACTGGCTAAATAAAATGGATTTCATTATTTACTTCAAACATTTCATCAGTTATCTATTATTATCTTTGTTTTTCTTTTTGTTTTTCGATTACAACAGATAAACAACCTAACAAATCCAATTAAAAAAATGAGTAAATCTGATACATCAGAATTAGGTATAATCTATCTAACTGATACACCAGATAATATTTATAAAAAAATTAGACGTGCTGAAACAGATTCTATCCGTAAAATTACTTATGATATTGAAAACCGTCCTGGAGTATCAAATTTATTAAGAATTCTATCTGCTATCCAGGTAATTCTAAAATCTCTTTATTATTAAATCAGTAACGATATAGAAAATGATCAATTTTTTGTATTTTCAATAGTTGAGATCATAAGCCAATTGAAGCTAGATCACAATGGAAAACCTGGAAGCACTGAACGGCCGTTTCGTTCTTTTATGGGACTCCTCATCAGTGCACATCCACGACCCCGCCTCACAAGGTTCGAACCTCAGACCTATCGGTCTTTCGTGCGAACGCTTAACCTCTAAACCGCTGAGCCGACTGGCATCCAATGGTGTTAATGTCTATCTTCAACTAATTCACGAAATTGAGCGACATATCCACATTCTGTATTTGTAAACTCTCGAATTGTTCGGTCTTTTACAGTTACTAAATACTATTAATAATAATAGCGAAAGTAAGATAATATTTGGCTGATCGAGATCTCATATCACCTGAAGCGATAATACAATAATATTTCCACACTTAACAACAAAATAGGGAAGAAAATTACAATTCAAATGTTTGATACATCATTGGCTAGTAGAATAACGTTGTTTAGTTATCTAGAAGTCAATTCCACGTTTTTATAACCCTGTAGCTGAATAAATTTTTCAGATTATTGGTACACTAATTGATCTTGTGTATAATAACTTGTCAACTATAAAAGCGATATGATCTGTTTTACTGGTGAGTCTCAACTAGTATTTGAACGGAAGAAAACCAACTATTTTATATAATTATATAAGAAAATAAATATAGATATCGTTTATGTAATTAGGAAGACAAGGCACGTAGTTCGTTATTCTCATGTCCTTCATTGGTAAACATCAGTAGTAGTGTAAGAAGTGTGATACTTCTCGGTAACTCAAAATAGATGGTCACTCTAAATGTCTTGTTCATAAGGTACTGGAGCAACATTTGATGATGCATTCTCATGGTAGAGCAGGTGACCTAAGTACGTTCATATCCCGTTCCTTCTATTAAGAGAGTAGGGCCTATATGCAACCTTGATTTCTTACTAACGTTTTCCAATTTTCTTATCTGAATTGTTTTTGTGCACTAATCTGGCTTAAGCGCCAATAACTGTTTTCGTGCTCTAACTTTGTAAAATATGTAACCCTACTACGGGAAGGGGCTGTTTACGTGCGATCTTATGGGACTGTGTGTAGAGTAAGAACGACTCTCCTCTCCATCTCCTTAGTTCTGAATTTATGCAAAAAGTTTAGTTTTTTTTATTTGAGACAACAACATTAGTTAACAGTGATTTTAAGAATTATGTGGTAAGAGTCCTACTTGTTTATTCTTTATCCCTGTCTAGAAGTTGGCGCTTCTGATTCTTAGTATGAAACTGTGGAGATTGTTGAGTTTTGATCTTGAATTGATCAATGTTAGACCACTATTGAAAACCTGGAAGCACTGGACGGCCGTTTCGTCTTAGTATGAGATTCCTCAACAGTGCACATCCATGATCTTTTTTGATTCTGTTAATTAATTTATATACATTTAAATAGTATTAAATAACCACTAAATATTTAATGGTGTTTTATTATCAAGGGTCGTAAAATTGAAGAAATTCTATCTACAGTACCTAATGATTGGAGTAAAGAAGATTTGAAATCCAAAGTGTCAGATGCACTTATTGAAGAATTTGATCCAATTCAAAAACGAATAAATGATCTTATGAATACAGAAGAAGGCCAATCTACTATAGTTAACTGTTTATCACATGGTTCAAGGCGAGCTAACCAGTTGGCTACAAAACGTTTAGAGCTAATTTACTCTGCTATTGGTTGTAAGATACCAGATTGTAAAAATTATTCTTCATCATATAACTAAAATAGTAACAGTTTAATATGAATATATGCTCTATTAAGTCTTCTTTCATGTACATTGGTTACAATACTTTTGATATATAGTATCTACCTACCTACCTTCTGATTTTTGTTTTGAATCATTATGCAATTGTCCAATGAAGTGCGAGCGATTAGCACAACAATTCTAAACACTGTGTAGATTTATTCCTTATTTTAGAATATAAAATGAATCTAAATAATCTTTAATAGTTTCATAATCATGTAGTTTTAACTTTAGAACAAAACTGGCAACTGATGTTTGTTGTATACTGATTTCCTACAAGAGTTCTTTTAGATTATATCGGCTATATACTCTAACTTTACAATCAGCTACAAACTTTGAATTTTCTGCTATTGTTTGGCCACTTTTCAAATAAACTATCAAGAATATTGCGACTCTATAGTGTTTTACACCTCAGCTAGTTCGATTGACACTTCACAGTAAATAGCTCCGATCCTGACAAAAAAATGGCATACGAACCTATTCTTAGTCACTGGCTATCATAAGATTGCATCTCCACTGCCTTGTGGATTAAACGTCTCCGGGTATAGTCTCCTAAGAAAACTACCTATTCCGTTTTTCGTCAAAAAACTGAAACTGTTATTATCATTCATTTGTATTGGTTGTTTGCATTTTCCCATTGATGTTTAGTTCTGCATTTCACCAGTCTCTTTTTTTAAAAAACATTAACTTCGGTATCCAAATACATTCAGTTAAGGAGTCCCAAATAGGACGAAACGCGATTCAAACGGGATTCCATTGCTAGCTACTATTCATCTTTGCTTATAACGCTTTTAAATTAAGACAATATGCACATATGCCAATAAGAAGAGATTGATTAATTGCAGTGCTAAACATCAATGGGAAGATTCAAGTAAACAACAATACCAAGTGAATTCAAAAATAACAAGGTTTCTAACATGAAATGGATTTATTCTATTTCACGGTTTTGCATTAGCGATGAAATTAATATGTGATAGGGTAATCTCTTAACATTATACAAAAGATGAATATCAAAAGACGTAAGAATAGAAGTAATTTGATAAACAATCAATCACACAATAGCAGGTCAGTATGGGAACGTTTGATACCGATTGTCTCTCCAAAGTAGAGTAAACTTGATGGGTTTTTTTTCTGTTGATTATTTTAAATGCATCAATTCATGTCCAGTATCAATATATTTGGTGCTATAACAGATGACCTGTGTGCCCTGTTAATGTATAACATACTGATAACATAATATTCAATGATGCATAATATTTATACGTACATTTATATTTTTGTTTGATGCTTTACACCTGCTCTTACTCACCATGTTATATAGGGATAATACTTCCAAGTCATTGGTCTCATAATCAGCATTATGCAAATGCGATTAAAATGATCTCGGTGGTCTTGTAATAGTATTCCGATAGTCGAAAATGGGTTTTATGAAATTCGCTGTCTCGGGCATTTCTATATGTTTTGACGCGCAAACTTCATATCGCCTCCTTACGGGTCATATTATCCTTCATACTCTTTCAACGGAAAAATATACCTCAATGCGCCGAACTATGTCTTAATTATCTAAATGAGTGCTATTGAATGATATATAATATATACAAGTATACATGAATTCTTCAAACACGAATTACACTGTGGCACCCTAGCCATGTTTTATATATTATTATTCCAAAAAAAAAAAAAAAAAAAAAAAAAAAAAAAAAAAAAAAAAAAAAAAAAAAAAAAAAAAAAAAAAAAAAAAAAAAAAAAAAAAAAAAAAAAAAAAAAAAAAAAAAAAAAAAAAAAAAAAAAAAAAAAAAAAAAAAAAAAAAAAAAAAAAAAAAAAAAAAAAAAAAAAAAAAAAAAAAAAAAAAAAAAAAAAAAAAAAAAAAAAAAAAAAAAAAAAAAAAAAAAAAAAAAAAAAAAAAAAAAAAAAAAAAAAAAAAAAAAAAAAAAAAAAAAAAAAAAAAAAAAAAAAAAAAAAAAAAAAAAAAAAAAAAAAAAAAAAAAACCATTCGCTCACCAATCGACTACTTCCAAACACTACTGACACACTCACAATTCACACATTTGCACGACATACACCATTCGCAATTGCAACAGGCTTTCAGTTAGGCGGATGGACAAGATCAAAATATACTGGATCATCTAACTGATTGACTCTGAACACATCCACACACAGATCACGTCACCTGCATTCGAGCTGAAACGTGCAAGTTGTCTGTTACAAGGAATGTGTGATTTGAAGAGAGTGAACGATCACTGACAAATGGGTGAGTGGATGCAATGATGAGGAAGCATTGACCAATAGACAAATACCAAGCTTTCCAGTGTAAGATGGAGGTTGGGAAGTGCGATGTGACAGTGTCGGCATGTGGATGTGGTTCTGTGTGAGTGTGCTCCGTGATGTGTGGTATTGGTGGAGTGGACTGACAGGAAGTATGATTGTGTGTTGAAGTGACTGTGTTTGTGTAAGTTCGGTTGAGTCCGATGTACATTGTGTGTATGTTAGGAGACAGTGTGTGGTGACTGTGTAGGGTGGTATGGTGTTGTGGTGTGACGAGCTGCCAAAAGCTGCTGCCCCCAGGGAGGATCGAACTCCCGACCCCTGGTTTACAAGACCAGTGCTCTGACCACTGAGCTATGGAGGCCGACTACACTTCTACACAACACTACATCCACCATTCACTCACTCTTACAATCCACAGTCCTACATCTCGTCCACTCACTGAACCACACATCAATTTCGCCACAGTATCAAACACTCTACAAACACGCAAGTGTCCTCAGTCAGTAAGACAGTCAATCGATCACATCATCACCATAGTTTGCAATCAACAATTTATTCGACCAGTCAATCAATCGACCAATGTAGCTTTCAAACACACTACACGACGCTTGGCCAGTTAGCCAATCAATTCATCCATTCATCTGTCTGGTGTACGGGTAATCAATCATGTGATTTCCAAATGCACAAACACAAACACACACACACACCATTCTATCAGTCGATGAGCATGTGAAAGCCGATTGTCAACTATGCACATGGTCATGAAACTGGAGATTGGGAGAGGTGAGTCCACATCAGTACTATCCACCTCTCGTCATCTGCCTCATCTGCAATTATCGTCATCACCATCACCATCACCATCACCATCACCATCGCTCATCATACGTCATCACGTACTGTGTCAATGGATCGTCACGGTGTACTCGCCGTTCGACTAGTAGGTCGACGAACACCTGACCGTTTGTCCTAGTCCACTGACTGTGTTGTTAGACTATGGTGAGGAGGAGTTGTGTACAGGTGATCAGTATGTCAACCAATAGAGGATTTGAGTAATGAGCAGGTTGATAAGCGTGAGATACTATGTTGCGTTTGATTCGATGTGAGTTTCCGTCTATCTGGCCATCTGAGAGTTTGTTCATGAATGCAAGTGTGTAGTGTTAGTTGTTGTCGGTAGTGTATGAGTGAGTGAGAGTGTGTGTTGTGTGAGTGCTGAAAATCTGAGTTGGTGGTTGAGTTTGGCTTAGTTTGGAGTGTGTTGAGTGTGGTGGCGTTGACGTGCTCCTCGATAGTATAGTGGTAAGTATCTCCGCCTGTCACGTGGAAGGCCCGGGTTCGATTCCCGGTCGAGGAGTCGGCTTTTACTTCACACACACATCACACACACACATCACACACACACAACACACACACACTCACACAATCGTCACTGTCTCATTCAACGTTGTCCACTCCTAGTCCAGTGCATTGTATCAACTCCACTACAAACAAATGTCGCGTCAATTCCGTTCGACGCACCAACATCCCCTACCTCTCATCACTGTCCCATCGGTAACCGGAACCATTCGCTCACCAATCGACTACTTCCAAACACTACTGACACACTCACAATTCACACATTTGCACGACATACACCATTCGCAATTGCAACAGGCTTTCAGTTAGGCGGATGGACAAGATCAAAATATACTGGATCATCTAACTGATTGACTCTGAACACATCCACACACAGATCACGTCACCTGCATTCGAGCTGAAACGTGCAAGTTGTCTGTTACAAGGAATGTGTGATTTGAAGAGAGTGAACGATCACTGACAAATGGGTGAGTGGATGCAATGATGAGGAAGCATTGACCAATAGACAAATACCAAGCTTTCCAGTGTAAGATGGAGGTTGGGAAGTGCGATGTGACAGTGTCGGCATGTGGATGTGGTTCTGTGTGAGTGTGCTCCGTGATGTGTGGTATTGGTGGAGTGGACTGACAGGAAGTATGATTGTGTGTTGAAGTGACTGTGTTTGTGTAAGTTCGGTTGAGTCCGATGTACATTGTGTGTATGTTAGGAGACAGTGTGTGGTGACTGTGTAGGGTGGTATGGTGTTGTGGTGTGACGAGCTGCCAAAAGCTGCTGCCCCCAGGGAGGATCGAACTCCCGACCCCTGGTTTACAAGACCAGTGCTCTGACCACTGAGCTATGGAGGCCGACTACACTTCTACACAACACTACATCCACCATTCACTCACTCTTACAATCCACAGTCCTACATCTCGTCCACTCACTGAACCACACATCAATTTCGCCACAGTATCAAACACTCTACAAACACGCAAGTGTCCTCAGTCAGTAAGACAGTCAATCGATCACATCATCACCATAGTTTGCAATCAACAATTTATTCGACCAGTCAATCAATCGACCAATGTAGCTTTCAAACACACTACACGACGCTTGGCCAGTTAGCCAATCAATTCATCCATTCATCTGTCTGGTGTACGGGTAATCAATCATGTGATTTCCAAATGCACAAACACAAACACACACACACACCATTCTATCAGTCGATGAGCATGTGAAAGCCGATTGTCAACTATGCACATGGTCATGAAACTGGAGATTGGGAGAGGTGAGTCCACATCAGTACTATCCACCTCTCGTCATCTGCCTCATCTGCAATTATCGTCATCACCATCACCATCACCATCACCATCACCAT